CTCTTTATCAGATTAGCAGTGCTGTTTTTGTTTTTGACTCTGATTTTCCGATCTGTCCTGTGCGGTTTCCATTTGCTTATGTTATATGGAGCGAGATATTACACAAGCCAGATATTACACATCAAATGATGGCGTTTAATCATTATAGGATGACAGAATAACCTCTCCGCTACACCTTCACCCGCAAAACAAACTTGTGAGGCGAGTCATTGACATTTGCTCTCAGATCAAGCTCACTCAAGGGCGCGACTGAGCTCGGAGTAACTCATCCAAACATTCCTTTACGAGCATTAGGTATGATCTGTCAACACGAGCTGATCAAATAAGTGCTGAACACACAAGAGCTCTGGTCTGGGGCAGCTCTTGTTTAGCAGTGTGTCTAGCCACGGACTCAAGGTGCAAAGCTGCAATGACAACAACATGTGCAGACTGATGGTAAAAGTGTCATCAAGGGCCATTAAAAATACGCTCTTGTACAAATACACTAGGTAAACGACTTGTGATTTAAGATAAGCCGATGTAAATGAGGTGAAGTTCCAGCAGATGACAGCAAAGCTTGCTTTATAGCAGTTACACTCTGTTCGAGTGATAATACAGGTGTCACCAAAATAAATAAATAAAACCTTTTTAGTATAATGGTAATATAATATAAATACATATTATATTAAATTGTGTTATATTTCATTAAAAAAAGAATGTCTTATTAAAAATATTAAATTTTTAATAGTACTATATAAAAAATTTAAATATTTGCATATTACATTTTTTGATATAATATAATGTGATATAATGTATATTAATCATCCTATACTACATTACTACTGGACTGAACCTATTACTCTGATTCTCTGTATATTGGAGTGCTGATATATTATCCGAGACTATATATAGACTGTCATAAACATGTATTCTGTGTTTATTGCTGACGATTTTATGACGTGCATTTTATCTGTAAATCCACTATTTTCTCCCACTATTAACCCTGGACTAACAGTATTTATTTTCAGACACAAGCTAGCATTCTAATAAGTCGTCTCAGGTTACTTATGTAACCATGGTTACATAAGTAACCTGAGACGACTTATTAGAATGCTAGCTTGTGTCTGAAAATAAATACTGTTAGTCCAGGGTTAATAGTGGGAGAAAATAGTGGATTTACAGATAAAATGCACGTCATAAAATCGTCAGCAATAAACACAGAATACATGTTTATGACAGTCTATATATAGTCTCGGATAATATATCAGCACTCCAATATACAGAGAATCAGAGTAATAGGTTCAGTCCAGTAGTAATGTAGTATAGGATGATTAATATACATTATATCACATTATATTATATCAAAAAATGTAATATGCAAATATTTAAATTTTTTATATAGTACTATTAAAAATTTAATATTTTTAATAAGACATTCTTTTTTTAATGAAATATAACACAATTTAATATAATATGTATTTATATTATATTACCATTATACTAAAAAGGTTTTATTTATTTATTTTGGTGACACCTGTATTATCACTCGAACAGAGTGTAACTGCTATAAAGCAAGCTTTGCTGTCATCTGCTGGAACTTCACTTCATTTACATCGGCTTATCTTAAATCACAAGTCGTTTACCTAGTGTATTTGTACAAGAGCGTATTTTTAATGGCCCTTGATGACACTTTTACCATCAGTCTGCACATGTTGTTGTCATTGCAGCTTTGCACCTTGAGTCCGTGGCTAGACACACTGCTAAACAAGAGCTGCCCCAGACCAGAGCTTGTGTGTGTTCAGCACTTATTTGATCAGCTCGTGTTGACAGATCATACCTAATGCTCGTAAAGGAATGTTTGGATGAGTTACTCCGAGCTCAGTCGCGCCCTTGAGTGAGCTTGATCTGAGAGCAAATGTCAATGACTCGCCTCACAAGTTTGTTTTGCGGGTGAAGGTGTAGCGGAGAGGTTATTCTGTCATCCTATAATGATTAAACGCCATCATTTGATGTGTAATATCTGGCTTGTGTAATATCTCGCTCCATATAACATAAGCAAATGGAAACCGCACAGGACAGATCGGAAAATCAGAGTCAAAAACAAAAACAGCACTGCTAATCTGATAAAGAGGAATTTAAGTGTATTTTCTCATTTATTTCAAATACAAAGACACATCAACATTTAGCATAACACTTGCTCAATGATGATTTGAACACTTTGTTTGTTAATTTGTTAGTTTTGGCGTGGCTGTCATTATAATAAAGTAATGTGAATGTCACCGGGTTTAGA